TTTTAGCTTTTCTTCCACTTCTGGCGTCTACGACTATTGCATCTGGCTAAGCAGAAACAGCCTGCGATACGCTACTGTTGTATTTCTAAATACACTATGCTTTGACCTCTGCCGGCATACAGGAGAAGGGGCGTCGGTTGGGATGAAGGTATTGCTAGGACCGCAGGACCACGAGCTACATGATTACCAGTTTTTTACATGAAGCTCGGTCGTTTTTTCGACAAATGCTCGCTTTGTGAAAAAATGACAAATGTAAATTTTTTGAAAAAGTGCAAATTTCAGTTCACTAAAAAGTGGAAGCATTGCTCGAGCGGTCGTTTGTCAAAACATCCATGTATGCAAATTAACTAATGTTCATTTACATACTCCGGTGAGCGCGGTCGTTCGCTGCAAAACGCACTCGTTTCTGATTTTTCGGTAAAGATGAGTATTTCTCACGCCTGCCTGCAGGGAATTCTACCTCCAAGCAGAATTAAGACTGTACTTGAGAGTAGAATATTCCAGCGAATTTTTAACCTCGCAGCTTATCCGATAAGCAGAATATCTACTCCGCTACAAATATTTGAAGTGCTCTAAGTTGTGGCGCAAGTGCAAATCGGTACTCATTTTAGGTATACTGTTTCCTATATGGGGGACAAACATCCTGACAAAATTTCAACCACTGTTTTCCGGCAAGTTTTCGAGTTAGCATAATACCAAGTCACAAATTTTGACGTGGTCGTACGCGCTGCACATACGTGCGCGGCAGCTGAATTTGAAATATTTAGCTCGCACATTAACAAAGAGTATCCTTACAAAGCTTCAGCTTTCTACCTTGCCTGGTTCGCGAAATCGCTCCCCGCCAAAGAAATCTGCATATTTTTTAAGGGCTTGTACGCGGGATCTAGGCGCGTATGGGGAAAATTTTAAAACGGGAGGATGACATAGAGGGTAGGAACGTATACCCGAAGTTTCAGCCTCCCAGCTTTCCTGGTTGCTGAGACAAAAGTAGGTGACAAAATGCACCGCTTCCGAACACACACACACACACACACACACACACACACA